TCACGATAACAACACTATACAAACCATGCTTTACCTTTGTATTTACTTCTTGTCAAAATAAGCACTACAAATTCATTTGTTTTTAGAGGGCTTTATGACCAATAAGCCCCAGGGTGAAAACAATTAAGGCAATAACCATTTTTTATTGTTAGTGAATAAAACCTAGTCCAATTATATGAGGATAAGTAATTCTTAATTCCTTCTGATGAAAAGTTTACATGTAGTAGAAAAATTTCACTCGTTTCTAACAATGTTTTATCATTCAGAAAAGCTTTCAAAACAGAGTTGCTTGAGTCCCATGAGCAAAGTGACCATTCCATGATACCTTAAGAGGGCTAATGACTAGGCTTGGCCTCCTATATGTTTTGTTTTGTTTTGTTTTGGCCAACTTATAGTACATTTTTTAAAAATTTAGCCAACTTATAGTACATTTTTTTGTTTTACTCCTACATGTTTTAACCATTTAACACTTTTGTTATTAAACTCCTGTGTGCCCCATAAAATGCTGAGAGCTTACTATATAGAGATATAATCTAAAAAGTATTAATACTGAAAGAGATATTTCTCTTATTTCTCAAATTTCTTATTTTTCCCCTTTTGGTTTAGCCCTCCATCCCATCCATTTTAGAGGCTGTTTTATTAGAGGCAGATTTTGCATTTTGCTTAGTGATTTACTATGAAGGTCCTAGAAGGGCAAAATTCTGATTTAGCAAGCAGAAGTCTGGAAGAAAAATAATTTGGGAATGAAGTAATTTTATATATGTTTATTTCTTTGTATATATTTATTTGATGTATAAATTTAATCCATAAAATGAGCTTGCTACTTCTCAAATTACCTATAAGTCCATAGCCGGGACAGGTTAGCACAGGGTGAGGCTCCAGACCCCAGAATAGGATTGGAAGAGATGTCTGTTTCAAAAACCTAGAAATGAGAAGCATTAGAGAAGAGTCAGAGAATCAAAAAAGCTGAAAATCTCATTGATCCAAAAAGGCAAGCACAACCCTGGAAAGGAAAGACAAAGGTCAAGTCTGAAACACTCTGGGAGTGAAAAACGGTAGATAGGAGAGAAGAACAGTCCAAAATAGGGTCTGACAAGTACAGCACATTTGTACCAGTCCTGAACCACTGAGGAAGGGACAGGATGGAAAAAGGGTCAGGTGACCAAGCAGAGAGTCTGATTTGAAGGTACAAAGAACAGCAAAAAGAATGGCCATAAGATAAAGACCCCACTAAAAAAGATAACTATGGGCAATATCCCTGATGAACAGAGATGTAAAAATCCTCAATAAAATACTAGCAAACCGAATCCAACAGTACATTAAAAAACTCATTCACCACAATTAAGTGGGATTTATTCCTCTGTTGCAAGGTGGTTCAATATTTGCAAATCAATCAACGTGATACATTACATCAATAAGAAAAAGGATAAGAACTTATGATCATTTCAATAGACACAGAAAAAGCCTGTGGCAAAGTACAATATCCATTCATGATAAAAACCCTCAACAAAGTAGGTTTAGAGGGAATATACCTCAACATAATAAAGGCCATCTATGAAAAACCCACGGCTAACGTCATCCTCAATGGGGAAAAACTGAGAGCTTTTCCCCTAAGGTCAGGAAGAAGACAAGGATGGCCACTCTCACCACTTTTATTCAACATAGTACTGGAAGTCCTAGCCACAGCAGTCAGACAACAAAAAGATATAAAAGACATTCAAATTGGTAAAGAAGAAGTAAAAGTATCGCTCTTTGCAGATGACACGATATTCTGTATAGAAAACCCTAAAGACCACCAAAAAAGTGCTAGAACTGATCAATGAATTTATAGTCCCAAGATACAAAAATTAACATGCGGAAATTTGTTGCATTTTATACACTAATAATGAAGCAGCAGAAGGAGAAATTAAGAAAACAATCCCATTTATAACTGTACCAACAATAATAAGATACCTAGGAATAAACTTAACCAAAGAGGTGAAAGACCTATAGTCTGAAAACTGTAAAATGCTGATGAAAGAAATTGAAGATGACACAAAGAAATGGAAAGATGTTCCATGCTCACGGATTGGAAGAACAAATATTGTTAAAATGCCTATACTAACCAAAGCAATCTACACATTTAATGCAATCCCTATCAAAATAACAACAGCACTTTTCACAGAACTAGAACAACAATCCTAAAATGTGTATGGATACCCAAAGCCATCTTGAAAAGGAAAAGCAAAGCTGGAAGCATAACAATTCAGGACTTCAAACTATATTACAAAGCTGTAGTAATCAAAACAGTATGGTACTGGCACAAAAATAGACATGTAGATCAATAGAACAAAATAGAAAATCCAAGGGTGCCTGTGTGGTTCAGGCGGTTAAGCATCCCATTCTTGATTTTGGCTCAGGTCATAATATCAGGGTTGTGCGATCGAGCCCTACGTCGGGCTCCACATTCAGCGGGGGATCTGCTGGAGATTCTCTCTCTCCTTCTCCCTCAGCCCCTCCCCCCTGCTCGCACTCTCTTTCTCTCTGTCTAAAATAAATAGTCTTTAAAAAAACAGAAAATCCAGAAATAAACCCACAATTATATGGTCAATTAATCTTCAACAAAGCAGGAAAGAATACCCAATGGGAAAAGGACAGTCTCTTCAACAAATGGTGTTGAGAAATGGACAGCAACATGCAAAAGAATGAAACTGAACTGCTTTCTTACACCATACACAAAAATAAATTCAAAATGGATTAAAGACCTAAATGTGAGACCTGAAACCATAAAAATCCTAGAAGAGAACACAGGCAGTAACTTCTTTGACACTAGCTATAGCAACTTCTTTCTAGATATGTCTCCTGAGGCAGGGGAAACAAAAGCAAAAATGAACTTTTGGGACTATATCAAAATAAAAAGCTTCTGCACAGTAAAGAAAACAATAAAACTAAAAGGCAACCTACCAAATGGGAAAAGATATTTGCAAATGATATATCCAATAAAGGGTCAGTATCCAAAATATATAAAGAACTTACACAAATCAAGATCTAAAAAAGGGATAATCCAATTTAAAAATGGGCAGAAGGGGCAACTGGGTGGCTCATTTGGTTAAGCATCTTATTCTTGATTTTTGGCTCAGGTCAGATCTCAGAGTCTTGGGATTGAGCCCCACATTAGACTCCCCTCTCAGCAGGGAGCCTGCTTGAGGATTTTTTTTTCCCCTCTCCCTCTGCCTTTCCCCGCACTTGCATGTGCTCTCTCTCTCAAATAAGTAAATAAATCTCTTTTTTTTAAATGAACAGACATTTCTCCAAAGAAGACATACAGATGGCCAAGAGACACGTGAAAAGATGCTCATCATCACTTATCATCAGAGAAATGCAAATCAAAACTACAATGAGATATCACCTCACACCTGTCAGAATCGCTAAAATCAAAAACACAAGAAACAACAGGTATTGATGAGAATGTGGAGAAAAAGGAACCCTCTTGCACTGTTGGTGGGAATCCCAACTGCTGCAGCACTCTGGAAAACTGTGTGGAGGTTCCTCAAAAAGTTAAACATAGAACTATGCTATGATCCAGCAATTGCACTACTGGGTATTTACCCACAGAATACAAGAACATTAATTCAAAGGTATACATGCACCTCTATGCTTATAACAGCATTATTTACAATAGCCAGGATGTGGAAGCAGCTTGGTGTCCATCAACTGATGAATGGATAAAGAGGTGGTATATATATATACAATGGAATATGATTCAGCCACCAAAAAAAGAATGAAATCTGCCATTTGCAACAACATGGATGGAGATAGAGAGTATAATGCTAAGTGAAAGAAACCAGTCAGAGACAAATACCGTATGATTTCACTCATATGTGGAATTTAAGAAACAATACAAATGAGCAAAGGGAAAAAAAGACAGAGAGAGACAAAGCAAGAAATAGACTCTTAATTATAGAGAACAAACTGCTGGTTAGAAGAGGGGAGGGGGTTGGGGGGATGGGTGAAATAGGTGATGGGGATTAAGGAGGGCACTTGTTGTGATAAGCACTGGGTATTATATGGAAGTGCTGAATCACTATATTGCACACCTGAAGCTAATATAACACTGTATGTTAACTAATTGGAACTAAAAAACTTTTAGGGATGCATGGGTGGCTCAGTCAGTTAAGTGTCTGCCTTTGGCTCAGGTCATGATCCCAGGGTCCTGGGATTGAGCCCCAGATCGGGCTCCCTGCTCAGCAAGGAGCCTGCCTCTCCCTCTCCCTCTGCCTGCCACTCCCCCTTACTTGTGCTCTCTCTCTGTCAAATAAATAAATAAAATCTTAAAATAAAATAAAATAAAAACTTTTTAAAAATGACCCACAGACTTCAAGTAAAGTCAGTATTTCTATTGAGTCTTTCTTTTAGGCCAGAGATCTCTGAGAAGGTTTACCACAGAAGTAATACCATTACAGCAAATTTTTCCTCCCAGTTGATTGTATTAAGAAAATTAGGAGCTGGGGCGCCTGGGTGGTTCAGTCATTTAGTGTCTGCCTTCAGCTCAGGTCATGATCAAGACCCACATCGGGCTCCCTGCTCGGCGGGAAACATGCTTCTCCCTCTCCCACTCCCCCTGCTTGTGTTCCCTCTCTCGCTATGTCTCTCTCTGTCAGATAAATAAATAAAATCTTTTAAAAAAAAAAAGAAAAGAAAATTAGGAGCTACCTCTCCATGCCTCTTGTATAAACCACCTCTGCAAGAAAGAGCCTCACACCTAGAAGGCCCACCCAACCCCCCCAGATATTTCCCCATGCTGTGGCCCAAATAACCACCAATTGGATCAAGCTGTAATCTGCTGACAGACTTCTCTCTTAGTCGAATTCTCAGGTGAAGAAAGCTGGTAATACAAAACCCAACAGGCATCATACTGAGGTGAGTCAGCTCACGCAGCTTCTCTGAGACAACCCATGTTAGTTGAAACTAATGGAAAAAAAGCCACGGAATTTCTTTTCCTTCTTTCTTTATTTTTTTTTTTTAATATGGAATACTTCACACACCTGCATGTCACCCTTGCTCAGGCCCCATACTAATCTTCTCTGTATCGTTCCAGTGTCAGTACATGTGCTGCCCAAGTGAGCACAACCACAGGATTTCTTTAAAGCTATTCTTCAGGCAGAAATTCTGGCCTAACTGTTCTTTTTATGGTGGGTAGACCATTTAGACTTTATAGTGTGAAGATGAGCACCTTCTTTAGACAAAAAAGAATCATTTTTCATAGAACAGGGAAAGACCTATCACATCATTTTTTTGACGCCAAAGACAGCAAGATAAAGTCTATAAGTTGTTAAATGAAGTAGAGGAAAAAGGATCTACAGATTAATATAACTCCGTGAGAAAAACACAGGAAATAAATAATCTCATTAAAATGTTCTTATGCCTTTCCTTTCACTGAATTCTAAAAGCATGATCACATCCATCAAGTAATAGCCATACATATAAATGGGAATTGAATTGTAAATTATATGTTCCTACATTCTTCATGAATGCTGCGATGGATAAATATATGTGTCAATTTGACTAGGCCAGAGTGCCCAGATAGTTACTCAAACATTATTCTGGGTGTGGGTGTTTCTGGAAGAGATTAACATTTGAATTGGTAGACTCAGTAAAGCAGATAGTCCTCTCTACTGTGGATGGGCCTCGTCCAATCAGTAGAAGGCCAGAAGAGAATAAAAGTTCGGAGTAAGAGAGAATTCCTTCTGCCTGACTGCATTGGAGCTGGAATGTCAGTTTTTCTCCTGCCTTCAGACCTGAACTAAAACATCAGCTTTTATGTTTACTGAGTCTTGAGCCTGCTAGCCTTCAGAATGGAACTATACCAATGGCTCTGCTGAGTCTCCAGTTTGCCAACTCAACCTTGGAATTTGTCCGTCTCCCACCTGCATAAGCCAATTCTTTATAATAAATCCCTTTAGAGAGAGAGAGAGAGAAGGAGAGAAACACATACATTCCATTGATTCTGTTTCTCTGGAGAACCTGACTAATACAGATGCTTGTATAAATTTTATAGCAAAGTTGTGTAAAGAATAAAGATATACCAAGTAGACTTAGTTGTTTTTCTCTCCCCCAGACCGCAGCCATATGCCCTACTCTGGTAGTAACTCAAAGAATCATCTGAGATAAAAGTCACACTCAGACTAAAAAGGAAAGCCAGTCACCACCACTACCGCCATATTCAGGGCTGCCACATTCAGTCAGAGCCATTTACATCTAAATCCACCACCTCTATATGGCCTTCTGGAGAGACCAAGAGGCAAAGTGAGGAGTACTACTTTGGGCCTGCTGTTTGCTATATGCTGTAACTGTAATTGTACACATACCTCCCCTTATAGTGGCCCCACTGATTTAATGAACCCAAGGCAGATTGGTCTGATTGTCAGGGTCTTAGACAACTTGACTGAACATATTATATCAACGTGAGAGCAAGCAGTATGTCTCAAGTCAGTATCAAAGAGTAAATAAAAGCAAAACTTTCATACTGATATGAAGATTTTATTCACCAGAATTCTGGGGCAAGAGTAGCTTATGCTTACAAGAAAAACCACCAGCACTAGACAGTACATGTTCCAGAAGACTGCATACACCAAAGAAGGTCTGTGTGTGGTGTGTGAGGGCTCAGAATGGCAGCGCCACCCACGAGTGCACTTGAGGCAGAGCAGTTGCCATGTGTAGGAAGCTGGTGAAAAAAAGAAGTGTAAAGGGAATTTTTAGAAAGATTTCTGTATGATTTTTCTATCTGAAATCCCTTAAAAATAAAATTTAAGAGTAAATATTTCCATCATTCTTCAAGGTTTCTCGAGTTAGACTGTTGTTGAATGTTGCCGTACAAGGAAGCCTGGCTTTGTGTGAGTTTCACTGCATTTAGACAAAGGCCATCTTCAGATTCCAACATCTTTCCCAATTCCCAATCAGGGCAGACCTTCCCTATTACTACAACAACTTACAATCTACAATTAACAGTGTGGGTCATTATCAAGAACAGTAGGATTGAGCTTTGGTGTTTTTGGTGTTTATCTTTCAGAAATCTAAGCTTATTTTTATGACTCTTAGTATCTTGTGGCATACAGCATCCACCAATCAGCTCTAAAAAAGCAAACTGGGATGTGTCCAACATTTTGGCTCCAGGCATGGTTCTAAATTTCCATAATGTCCCAGATCAAAAAAGGTTACATAGACCTTATATAGCACAGTTAGAGAAGACAACAAATACCAGCTCAAACTATATCCTCACTACCTAAAAAGACTAAAAAGCACTTTAAATTAAAAAAATGCAGAATGTTACCAGAATGTGAATTATTTATCACAAAAGGCACCATAAAGACAAATCAGACATTACTGTGGTGTATTATTGTAGGTGACAGATTCTGAAGTGAGCACTTAGGGCTAAAATTACATATCACCAAAATTACCCTTGAAAATCCCTAAGGAATGTACCATGTTGGAGACACACAGTCTCTCAGTTCAGTTCAACATATCCAAATTTTCCTGCAAAGGTGGAACAGATAACCATGGCTTTGGTTGAGACCAAGGACCTAACTTCTATTTAGAGACTATGTGGTAACAACAATCTGTTGTACAATCGATATTAGAATCACACTCTCGGCACAATGAAAAGTTAACACCATGAGCACCACATGGGAATTAAGACAATCAAGGGAATAGCAGGTTCTTTTCTATCATCTTCTGTGTGCCCCAAGGCAAACACTTACTGATTGCAGTAGAAAACAAAGTTATCTAAGCATAATTGTATTTGTTTAAGCTAAGTATACATTTGATAGGATTCCACTCTATTTAGAAGAAAAAAAAAAACACAATGGGAAAGAAGACACATCAAAGTGGTGAACTTCACCCTGTAACTGAAGACTCAGTGTCACTCACTCTAAATCTGCTTGAATGTTTAGCCTGGCCAGCAAATACACTTGGCTGAAAGTCCAAAAGATACCAATTTTTCCTTAGATTCTCAGAATTATCCTAAAGGTGGAGAAAGGAAAAACTGCCTCCAGAGTAGACACTGCCCCAAAGGAGTTTAAGAAAATATCTAAGAAAAACCACAGTCTGTTTTCCACTGACTTAACAGATAGTTGTGGCCATACGAAAGCCAGAAATGACAATGGTAACAGACACAAACCATGTTCTGTAAAGCTAAGAAGTTAGAGGAGGACACTTCCCATTTCCAGAGTCAAGAGCGTGCAACTCATCCACAGTATGCTGGAATAAAGATATGTGGTGTGAACACAGCTAATTAAACTCCTTGGTTTATAAAACATTAGAAACCCAACCTGGACCCTGAAAAGTCAATATTCTATGAACTTCTTTTGACCACCTAGGACCATCCCACCAGTCAAGCATCAGGACAGGACAGTAGAGGCAGGTGTCTATGTCTGCAGTTGAGAGAAGCTGGCTCTGAAGCCCCTTCGGTCTATGAGCTTTAATTGCCTTCAGCCCAGTCCTGCCTAAGAATGTGATTCCCAGACTAGCCCTTGTCTTTTCTCCTGGTTAGAGAAGAAAGGACAGAGCAGCAATGGGATGGCAAGAGGGCAAGTGAAGAATAAAAAGAGTAGCTAGAGATGAAAGCTGCCACCAGAGAGGCTGAGCTGAAAATAGCATGACTACTACCCTCTGCTGCATTCATCTGTTCATTCAACAAATATTGACTGAGTGCCTAATATATGCACAGCATTCTGTTGAGCATTTCTCGTGTTTGACGGTCTTAAAGGGGGATCGTTTCCAGTGCCATTTTTATCGAGGCTCACTGCTTCCCTGGGTGAGTAAGCTTCAGCTTTTCCTTACAGCGGGTCACACTTCTTACCCCACCTTCATGCAAGCAGAGACTCCTAGACCTGGAGGCTATGAAGAGAAGAAGAGAATCTGGCACAGCTGTAGGCTAGGAGAACCACCTCAGATATGGTCAGCTTCCAAAATCAAAGCAAGGAGCGGGTTCACACAGTGTTCAAACAACATAAAACAACACCTCGTTTTCACTGCAGGTCCCTGGAGGGACATTTTTAGAACAGAAATTTGAGAACACATGGATTATTCACAGAGCTTAAAAAAAAGAAGCCAGTAAGGGTAATTTATAGTATTACAAGAGATTTTCAAGTACAGAGATCGAGGACAGAGTCTATAAGATTTCAACGCATGTTAACATAAAGCAAGAGTTGTATGTGGTGAGGCTGACTGAAGATCCATTTCATCTTTTAATGGAAGAAAGATGCCTGTAGTCCAGTTTCCCTTTCTCAAAAAGACCTTATTCTGCCTGTGGTTAGACAATTGAAGAAAACATTGTTCCAAAGCCACAGAATTCATCTTTTCCTTGATCTAGCAAAAATGTGCCCATCTGTGACAATGCAGATTTGGGCAGTCAGAAAACAAGAGCATAGACAAGGAAATCCCAGCCACTATTTTCCAAAAGCTGTCCTCAAGACTGAGACTAGGGTCTGTGCTCTCCTTAACATTGTCTATTGGTCTATCTTTCTTTTCAGTCAAAAGCTGTATCTATTAAAAGAGAAAAAAAAAAAAAGTAACAGTGAGCACCAACAAGCTAATGTCCTGATGTAGCTGTACCTTCATGCAACAAAGCTGGGAACAGATAATTTAAAAAGTACCCAGACTGTACTGCAAGCAAGGCAGAACAGAAAGTAGAAGACAACTCCTTTCTCACCTCAGTTAATGCTTTGTTCAAAAAACACCCCTTTCAAGCAGTCCAGTTATTTATCTCATTAAATAAAGCAATAAACCACGCTAACACCATAAAGCATGGCACAAAATAACTGACAATATTATTACTCCATTGTCGTAAGTCCGATTAGGAAGGATAACTTTTAATGGTATGAACGCTGAGCAGCACTGCAATAATACTGGAAACTAAAAAGGGAGCGTCCACCTCCTACCCCCACACATGATTCCTTTCCACACACATGTATGGAAGTACGCAGAGGAGACCCTGACAGAGCACCACCAGCACACCTTTACATGGACGATGAGGGCCAAAAAGTGGGCAGTCAGATGAAGCCCACCGAGAGGCTTTCCTCATAGGGGGCTGCAATCCCTGGCTGGGCCTTGCATGGTAGGACTTCTTGG